ATCCCAATAGCCCCTAGACAAACAGTAATGAAACAGAAGGTGATCAACGGTCTCCTCATCTCGCAAGCACAGATAACAACGATTAACCACCACCTGATTTCTCTTCCTCAAATTATCCTGGGTTAAGATCCTACCCAAGACAGAAGTCCAAGTAAAGAAGGCCACGTTGAGGGGAGCCTTAGAGCGCCAAATAGACTTCCAAGAAAAATGACCTCTAGAGCCAACTATAAGACACCTGAAAAAGGACCTCACCTCAAAGTGACCCTAAGGGTTAGGAATCCAAAGCCAACAATCAGAATCCCCAGCTGTAATCGTTTGACGATACAATAACTCCAAAAAACAGGTGACCTCCTCAATTTCCCAATCCTGAAAGTGCCTCATAAACTGAACATCCCAAGTCAATTTCCCGTTATCAAGATGATAACAGTCCACCACCAAGGCCTGCCTTTTGTAAGCAATCCTGAAAAGCTGTGGGAAAGCGATCGCAAGAAGAAGATCCCCACACCAAAGGTCATCCCAAAATCTGATCCTCCTACCATCTCTGATCCGAAAATGAACATGCTTACAAAAATCATCCCACCCCTTCCGAATGCCACTCTAAACCCATACCTCCTAGGACCACGCACCCCAAGAGAACACCACCCTCCACTGCTTTCCCTAAATTTGTGCGCAACCCTCCTCCAAAGTCAATGCTTCTCCATCCCAAACCTCCAAAGTCATTTCCCGAGGAGAGCCTTATTGAAAGGAAACAACCTCCTAATCCCTAAACCACCACGCCGAATTGGACAACACATTTACTCCTAACAAATCAAGTGAAACTTAAATTCCCCCCCCCCCCAAAAAAAAAAGAAAAAGAAAAGAACATTGGGCTGCAATCTCACAATCCTCACAGCCACAGAAGCAAAGATCTAAAAGAAAGGGATGAATTAAGTGGGGAGGCTAGAAAGGGTACTCTTGATCAAAGTGACCCGACCCCCCTTAGACAAATACTGCTTCTTTCAACCCACCAGCTTCCTCTCAAATCTGTCCACAACCGGATCCCAACACCCCACACATCTAGAAGGGGCACCCAGAGGCAATCCTAAGTAAGAAATGGGAAAACAGCCAGTGCTACATCCAAGGATCTGGGCAAACCTCTCAATCTCAAGAACCTCCCCAATCGGCACAAGAACACTCTTTCCAAGACTGTAGTAACATTATGCATCTTTTTCTTTCTTTGTTTTTTGTTATGCACTTGTTCTTATAATTAACTTAAAAATGTAAATGAGAATTTTCGATACTTTACTGCTCAAATTCAGTTATTGAGTGAACCATTTGCTGGTGGTACTAAAGGAAAAATTATGATCATGATAAAAAAAAGAAACGGACACATTTGGCTCGTTCGTGTAATACATGCACCTAAACAATCGCAATGAAATTTTTCTTCGCCACAAGAAGATGGTCCAGAAGTGGCCCATAAGTAACCATCTGCATTACATACAATTCCTGTAGGGGGCCGAGTGGATGGAGATTCGGTCCAGTCCGTTTTCACAAGCCCACCTCTTTTGGCCCAGTCCTCTGCATCCCAAAGACTATATATTGTATTGTCTCCTTTGCTTCTTTTGAATGAAAAAAGTAATTTCTAGGAGTTGGAAACAATTTTTTTTTTTTTTTTTTTCCCTAAAGAGTTTGATTGTGAAGTTTCATAACCCAAAAATGGTAGTAGACCAAAACAAAGGATGACCTTCCCTGATACTTGGGATCATCCTTCCATTAAATTATCAAAAATTTAGTCCTAAAAGGGGTCTGTTTTTTTATTTAGTGGACACCTTCCTCAAAATTCTAGAGATGCCAATTTCCAAGATTGTTTCTGATCCTCTAACGTGGTAAATGTAATGTATAATGTTCACTAAAGTATTTCTAAAACTGTTCTAGAAGGAGTTATTTATGCCGTTTTAATGTAATGTGAGCCCTAGATTCTGGATGTCCGTAGTAACATTATGCCGTTTTCTCTAGCCTGTCACGGCCATGTTACGGTTCCAAGACTGTACACAATAGCTTTGATTAGGAAGGTAGCATGGAACACTCCATGTATTTGTCTGTATGCTTAATGTGTGCCCTTATGTACTGGTTGATCTCACGTTATAAAATCCTCTTGTTTGCCAGGGTTAAAAAACAACAACAACAATAATAATAATAATAATAAAATAGATACATAGATAGATAGATTGTTTTGGTTTCGTAACATGAACCATTTCAAATCTGACTTTTCATGAATATTGAGCTCCACCTATCCACTAGATTTTAGTGCACTGAACAATTCTCCTCGTGTGGATTTTAGTATGGAAGGCTCACCCCAAAAATCAATTCATTACGTAGTACTAAAGTTGTGATGGACGACCTTTTTAGAGAATGTGATATTAATACATATCAAATAAAACACTTCAAATAATCCGAAAGTTTACATGCACATAACATAAAAAAATTATAAATGAATAAAAAAACACATAGTAATGAATTAATTATTAATTATTAAAAGTTACAGAAAATTGGACACTTTTACTTAATCTAGCATCACAAAGGCCAACCTATAAGAGCTAAACGAAGAAAATTCATAACAGAGACATTAAAGAATGTGGTTTGATGGCATGGAAGAAAACATGAAATTAATAAAACAAATTTTAGACTTCAGTTTAACTAATATGAAAAGATGCATTCATTACATATATGGAGAAAAATTACCAATTAGACAAACGACATCACGACATCCTAGCGAACGTAGAGATAGAACGAAAATTCACATACAGACTTATAAATACGTTGGGTTTTGATATTTTGTGTCTGATGTACTGGAAGTTGATATACATTTGAGTTTTGATACCATTTACATGAAATATATGAGATATATTTGATGGGTTTGAGGACACATGTTAGTAGAGCTGGGTTATAGTGTGGGCTATTCTTACGTGGATATGGTTTGGAAGCCAGATTTCAAATATTGAGAACTCGAGCTGATTGGGTGCACTTAAAACATAATTTTTAAAAATTTGGAGGGGGCCAAAATTCAAATATTCAAAACTTAAGACTTAATTTGGAGGGCACTTAATATTATTTTGTAAAATTTTTGGCGGGGTTAGATTTGCCTATTCAAATTCAGGACTTAATTGCCCGGCAATTAACATAATTTTGTAAAATTTTGGGGGTAGTCGGAAAGTGTAAACACATATTTAATAGTGCAGTTTGTGTCGTACTTGTTGCTAGTATTACGTGTTCCTAAGATGAATTTTGAGATGAGGGTGTGGTAGTTCTTGAAACTTGTAAAGGACATCTAGATGGGCTTGTTTAATTGCATCAGTGCCAACTTTTTAACAGAAAGCGTATATGATGCCGATATGAAACTTGTTTATTCCTTTAATGCAGTCTTGTTCATTTTATGCTAAACAACGAATCTTGGGCGAGTGTTGCACAGCTAAAGTAATTTATCCCATTTACAGTTGGGTACATAAGTGAATATTTTAGACATTGTATTTACTTTTAATATCTTCGATCCTATCATAATTTGAGTTGGCAAGCTATTTCTTTTTCTTTTTTTTTTTTTAAATTAATAGATGGTTCTAGACTAGGCAGCTACTAGATTCTTATAGTTTTCTTCGTTTAATCTGTGTGTAGTTTTTTGTTGTTGGTTTTTTCTTTTCTTTTCTTTTTTCCTTGAAAAATATCACTATGATTTTATCATCAATATGCCAGTTTTTAATGTTCTTGTTGCAAATGGTGCTGTGTTCTAGAGCAAGTGGTAACAAATTAACAATTATATGTAGCCAAATTGTGGAACAGATGATGGAGCGACAATGGCTGCCAGAGACTAATGTGATACAATTCAGCATTAATGTTTGGCAGGACTGCCTAGTGTTAGACACCATAAAATTAGGAAGAGGTCAAGTGGTGTGTGCTTTTGATATACAACTGGTACTTTCATTGGCAAAACAAGAGTTAGGCTGTAGGGGTGGGTAAGTTTTGAAGAAAAATGCCAAAGCCTGCTTCACTCCTGATCAAAGGGCCAAAAACCTCAATATAATATCAAAATATGCAACACAAACAATAAAATTAAAAAATTAAAATTTTTTTTTATAAGAATTAGCAATAATATCTTACAATAGCCCATAGTTTGTATTCCAATAATATATCTAGCTATGCTCATTATTTTTCACTATAATATCTCCGTTGGTCTTTACGAGGAATGCATAGATTCCGCCAAATCTATAAGTATCAATTGAATATTTCTTGATCTAACTATCATTCTCATTGAGCTATTGCCTCCATCCCATCCGCTCAGTTTGAAACTTTCATAATATACTACGGAGGAATGATCCAGACGACTAAATAAACAAAGATATATGTTTGGAGAGTGTTGTTCCACCTATGATTTAATTTTGTGGTGTTGTTCAGATTTAATTTATTTTTGAAGAGTGTTGTTTCACCCATATATGCACATTATTATATGGGTTACTACTTGTTAACAACTATCTCAATATTTATACTTTCGTATGAAAGGCATACTTTCACATGAAAGGCTAAGATTTATACTTTCAATAAATATGAAAAGAAAATTCTAAAATATTTATAATAGATGAGAATTCAAAAGAAAGATCGGTAATTAAACAAGTAATTCTAAAATGTTCTAAAATTGCTTATAAAGTTCCAATTTTTTATAAATTTGGGAGGTGTGAGAGACAGAAAAATGGATGACCCATTAGGTTTATAAATTATGCATAATGTTAATGATGTCATTTCAGGTATTAAAAAAAAGGCAAAATTGACCTTTTATTAATTTTTTTTTTTGCTTACATCAGCACACATTAGATCCTTAACGATAGAGGCAATTTACTACGTAAATCAAAAGGTCAGGGGGTGTAGGTGAAATATTAAAACTTGGAGGGGTGTAACTGAGATTTCACCAAAGGTTAGAGGGTGTAGGTGAAATTTAACTTTAAAAATAAAAAAATAAAAATTCTGGAGCCTTATTATTTGTACTGTCGAAACTTTCGTGGCTTCTACTTGGAATACCAGAAACCAGTCATCAAACATGGCTCTGCTCCAATCTCCTGCGATTTCTTCATCTTCGTCGTCTTTCTTTCGATCTTTTCCCAACAACGAACTAAATTCGAAGCTCATTGGACCAAAATCGAGAAATCTTTATGCGAATGTCAACCCCACAAAGTCTTACCCAAGTTTCAAAGCTTCGTGGCAAGAGGTGCTAATGTTTACACTGTTCGATTTCTCTGTATTTCTATATAATTTCTCGGTTAATTTTTTTTTTTTGACTCTGTTTACTGGATTATTTTTCATTTGAAGCTCGCCGGCGTTTTGATATTCTCGGCGATTCCTTTCACCGCCGTGAAAGCCATCGCCAACAGTCCACTCGGAGAGGCGCTTCAAAGGCGAATGGAGGAGAACAAGAAGGCTGAGGTGGCCAATTCGTCTAAGTTGAAGGCACTAGCTGAAAAAGCAAGAAAGGAGAGGTAATTTGCGGTAAGGGGATTTCATCATTTTCGATTTTTTTTAGGGTTAATTTCCTAAAGTTATAGACTTTGTAATGACTGGAAGTTATGGGATTGATACAACAAAAGGATAGTCCATAAACTAAGGCAAAATTATATTGGTGTTGAAATCTTACTTAAAGTACCTTGATAGTTTTAGGGACGAAACCAGAAATTTTCTGTGATGATCTATTATTAAGGTTCTCATCTCATGATATATTATTGAATTTGGGACTACAATTAATAATTTTAGAATAGACTTTGTAAAAGTGGAACATTTGATTGAGGACATAATGAACCCAATTAAAGGTGGCAAAACATGGACCAATCTAGTTGGAAGAATTGGAACATCAAATCGTACGTGGCCTTAAAGTCCTCTAATCATCTTTCAAGAAGTGGTCTTTTGAGCATGCTGTAGACTTGTAGTAGAAAATAAAAATGCTAATGCAAGAAGTCCTGAACCAAGCATTCAGTTTTGATCAAACTAATTGAACTATTCTTGCATAAGCCTGTGGGTATCACATGGTTTGTGGGTAATTCCGTGCACCTTAGGACTGATACGTAGAAATGGGTTGGGACACCTGCCATAACCCAAAGAATAGATGCGAACTTATCCAATCATGATTGAGAATAGTACTTCTTATCTAGGAAACACCTATTTACACCGCAAAACACTTTTTATAATTTTAAAATTACTCCATATATTTGATGCAAGTTCCCTTTTGGGGATATAAGTTTTCATTTTTGTTAGTCAAGGACTTTGTGCGTAACTTTGTAAAAGGTTCTTCACTGTCAGTTCATGATTACACAGAATTTGAGGGTGAGTATTACTTTCTCGGTGAGAGCATTTGCCTGGTTTCGTTCTTGAGGGAATTCACTATGAAAACTCAAGACCTAAGAGTGACTCTTGTGGAACAAAAATTGTTTTGGAATGAAAAAAGTAATTTCTAGGAGTTGGAACCTTTTTTTTCTTTTCTAAAGTGTTTAATTGTGGGGTTTGCAGTATGTGGTTTGCTGGCTTTGGGCACTGGTTCTGGTTTTGGAATAAAATCCCTTTTGTGCAATCTCCACTATTACAAAGTTTATTTCATGCATTTTCTTCATTATTTATATTTATTTCCTAATATTTTGTGTGCGTTGATTAATCTTTTAATCAAATGATGACTGAAATTTAGTATTCTTGATAATGAAAATATCACATCACATTGAACAATCCATTTCTTAATATAATCGGGAAGATACCTTCAAAAGCCATAAAACCAGCACTTGGTTATCCATATCTCATAGCACCGTTGGCATGTTTGATGTCCTATGTAATGTAGATAAGAGAAAAAATGAGTTTTTATTTTTATTTTTTATTTATTTAGTTTTTGGGGGCGAGGTAGTGAGCTGCTGTCACGATATCCCTATCAGTGTGACCTATATGAATGGGTTAAACACCACGTTGACTTGCAAATCAGTCACTTTCTATAAGACTATAAGAGTTGGTGGATATGACGGGGTTTATGCGAAAAAGACTTCGATTGTCTTCCTGTATTTCCTTGAGGACCAATAGTGGAGCTTTTGATCGGTCGAATGGGGTGGTCCTGGTCTACTGATCTCTTACTAATAAGTGGAAAGGAAGGTCTCTTGAGCCTAACAAGTGGATGAGACCGTGTGAGCATAGCATAACGGACTTGTTTAGTATTAAAATTGGGGCCAAGACAAAAAATGAAAATATTTAGAAAAGACTGGTTTGAGCAAATCATTTTAATGGGATATTGAACATGCCAAAAAAGCAGTCTCTCACAATTAAAGTCAATTTATTGATTAATAACTTGTTGCAGTTTTATATGTATTGTGATAAATAATCAATTTTCACAGTTTGTGGTATGGTGCGGGGCGTCCTCGCTGGCTTGGTCCAATCCCATATGACTATCCTGCATATCTTACCGGAGAATTACCAGGGGATTATGGCTTTGATGTTGCAGGACTGAGCAAGGATCCTGTGGCTTTCCAGAAATACTTCAAGTATGTATGGATTTGCTCCATCCATTTCTGCACGAATCATTTTTCTATTACAATCTTTCATGTGGAAATCCAGTTGATAGTTCATATATACGGCCTGTGTAAGGGCACTTTCTTATATAATTTCTGAATATGGATCTAGTTCATATATACGCCCTAGCTCTCTACTATTTTGTAGAATTTGAGGTGCTATCTTTCTATAGTTGTCACATGAGAGTCCTAACATGAGTAGTGAGATAGCAACCACTATGTGTTACAAACAATAGCTCTTATGATATTATATGTGTTGCTATTCACCCAACCTTGTGATTGGGCATTTTTGCTTCTAAATAATGTGTTTAATGCTTTAGTTTACACATGCCTTGGTTGAGTGGATAGCGTTCATTATGCCTTAGTAGCAAACAAGAACCTCTATCTAAATTTTGACCACCAAATGATCTGTTGAATCTTTAATATTTGCAGCTTTGAAGTATTGCATGCTCGATGGGCTATGCTTGCGGCCCTTGGTGCTCTGATTCCCGAACTACTTGAAATATTAGGAGTCTTTCATTTTGTTGAACCTGTCTGGTGGCGAGTTGGCTATTCAAAGCTTAAGGCTAGTATCATCTGCCTCCATATGATTAATGATCTTAGGTTATACTTTAGTTAAGAAAATTTTCCTAATATATGAATATTTCTCTGCTTTATTTAACTTTCTTGCTATTTGATGCCCCAACTCTTACATTATCCACAATAGCATTGAACAAGCCTTAAGGCATCCCTTTGCGAAATTTGGGATTGCTGAGATCGTTCAGCAAAAGTGACGATGTATTTGGTATCTCTACGTGGGCCACGTTAATGGTGGTGCTTGTGGCAACACTGACAAGTGTTGGTTAGGTCTGCAGTATGGGTCATGTTCTTACGATCTTACTTTCCAGGCATAACACTGCATCTTTAGTAAGAGTTATTTTGTGGTAACAGTTGTGACTCTTAAATGAATTTTAATATTATGGATGCAATTACTTAATTCAATCTGTGTTGTTAATTAAAATCAATTGATGATGCAGAGTGCTATTATAGTTGGGGCAGATAAGTAACTCTACTATCACTCTCTATCTCTTCCCCCTCTTGTTCAACCAATATGGGAGGTCTTGGGTTTAAATTTCTCCATTTCTATATGATTCCCCCATTCTGCTTGTCTCTGTCCTCCATCAATTTATCTGTCTCTCGTCTAGTGTAATTGTGTAAAGCACTTTTCAGAAATATTCTAATATACTCATGCTGTAATTTTTTTTACCTATACTTGCAAAAAGTTCCAAATTTTAGTTTTGCCTAAAAGCTCTACTAGGCAAAGATCTTTGCCTCTAAACACAATTAAAAGTGAATTTTCAAATTATAAGTGCTTTTATCTATTCTAATTGCAATGCCAAACATGCTCTTAGTCGATTTGTGTGTCTTTCCACGTTAAAGAGGAGTTTTCATGTGAAGAGCTTGATATACACTGTTGGACTCATCCTTAATTAGCTCAAATTTTTAAGATAATTAATTGTCTAACAGGAGAATTTTATTCGTTTGCCTTGATGCTAAAAGATGACTTGCTATATTAAACTTCAGCAGCAGCTACCATTTTTTCTCATTGCACATTGACCTTTGTAAGTAAACCCTTTATTTTAGTTGGCAAGTTAACAAAAATGGGGAAAAAAACTTCATATCCATATGCATGTGAGTTGTTTAGATTAAGAAGCATGTGATCAGTATTGTTATCTCTGAACCTCTTTTTTTTTGTTTTTAATAATTTTGTGTTTTGTAATCTTTTTCATCAGGGAGATACACTTGACTACCTTGGCATCCCAGGACTCCACTTGGCTGGAAGTCAAGGAGTGGTTGTCATAGCTATCTGCCAAGCCATTCTGATGGTAATAACTAAAAACTCTATCTCTTGATTTCAATTTTGTCAACCATTTATAAATCTTAAATGCCTTGTTCAATACTATCATAATTTTCCCTCACACACGTCATTATTTGGTATTAACCATTAAAGGATCCCATCTGGCTCAATTATACTCAAAATCTTGCACCTTGAAACAACGCTCTGAGATTTCACAGAATCGGGTAGGTGGTATATGATTATTGATCACTGCCAATCATACATGTGCAACAAAATTTGTATGGAAATAATGGAACCTATACTCTTTTGGCTTGCTCATAGACAACACAAATTGGACTTGTCAAAAATGAGAGGAAAATTGGGTTTTGCCGTATCTACCAGCAAGAAAAAAAGGAAATGAGGGATGACACTGGAGGTAGAATTAGGAAGGAAGACCTTATCATATGAGCTCTACCCAATACTATATACAAAGGAGGATAATAGATGATACTAACATTGTTAGCTGGCCCGCCTGTTGTCCGACTTAATTAATTATTGCCCTTTGTTATTCAAATTAATGGTTTCATTTTTGTAATTTTCTAATTATTTTGAAATCGTATAAGTTGAATTGATCAAATTTGGAAAATAAAGTAAAATTGCATGAAGGAAGTAGTTTTGGGATAATTGCCAACATTGTAGGATGACTTGGATGATAGTGTCAGAATATACAGCGAAAGTTCAGAAAATACTTGAAGAAGGTTCAAGTGTATACATGCTATCAAAGCATTAAGAAGTTTATCCAAATCTCACAATGGCTTAAAAGAACCCCTCCTAGAAAAGTTATAGAAATACTTGTGATGCAAAATACATTACATTTACCACGTTAGAGGATCGGAAACAATCTTGGAAATTGGCATCTCTAGAATTTTGAGGAAGGTGTCCACTAAATAAAAATAGACCCCTTTTAGGACTAAATTTTTGATAATTTAATGGAAGGATGATCCCAAGTATCCGGGAAGGTCATCCTTTGTTTTGGTCTACTACTATTTTTGGGTTATGAAACTTCTTGCCACTTGTTTCTGTAGGTTGGACCAGAATATGCAAGATATTGTGGTATTGAGGCTCTGGAGCCTTTAGGAATATACTTGCCTGGTGACATTAATTATCCTGGAGGTGCACTTTTTGATCCCTTGAATCTCTCGAAGGACCCTGTGGCTTTCGAGGAGCTGAAGGTGAAAGAGATAAAAAATGGGCGTTTAGCCATGATTGCCTGGTTAGGATTTTATACCCAAGCTGCTCTAACAGGTAAAGGGCCTGTACAAAACCTACTCGAGCACATCTCAGATCCCGTCCATAATAATCTGCTTTCAATCCTCAAGTCGATGTAATATATCTTTTGAACTGAACACATCTGTAACTAATAGCTGTCTTTCAAGTGACATCATGTCCAACCATGTGAAAAACGATTATTCATTGTAGTTATAATTTTCTTAATATAAAATTACATACGTAATCAATTATTTGGATTTCGATTGTACCTTCTCAGAACAAATTTGTAAGGATGCAATTTGCAAGTGAGAATATATTGTTTTCTAAAGATGCATGTGAGGTTTATGGATTGAAACTTGTTGCAAGATGAGGCTCTTAGGACTCTTACCTAGAGGCTTATGTCTGTGAGGTAGAAACTCATTAGAGGTTTGCTATCCACAGTCGCTCTTACCTAGAGGTCGCATCTCTTGAAATGAACCTTGGGTCTCATCTTATGCAAGAGTGTTTAATGCATTACTTCCCTGTTTTATTCTTCAAAGATGGTATTGTGGAACTGACATTGGTACTTTCCTCATTGTATTTTAATATTAACCTATGCATTTCTTTATAAAGTTTTCAATATGGGCACCACAGATTTTGCCAATAAACATCTACAGAAATGGAACACAGACATGGAATTTAGGTTAAACGATGTGATTTTGACTGGATAGTGGGAGGCTTATTACTTCAATTAGTCCCCATGTTCCTCAAATCGATCTCTTAGTTGTTGAGAAGGTTGCCCAAAAGCGGTACATAAGGCGTACCGAGTAAAAAAACTAGCAAGTAAATGGGTGGTATTGATTTAATTCGTCCAACAATGTATAGGATGTAACTGAAATGACGATGACATTTCTTTCCATATTTTAATCTTAATGATTGTAAATATGGTTGGAGAATCTGTAAATCGATCCTTATGTTTGTGTAGTGTAGTCATAATTTTCACTTCCATATACAAGTATATGGTTTCATTTTAATTATGAAGTGTGAAGCATTAGGATTGATTTCCTAAATTTTGATTTTTAAAGATGTATAAAGCTCCTTTTTTGGAGCCTTGGAGGTGAGCCATGAGGATTGACGCCCATGAATATGTGAACCTTATAGGGTGCACTCTCATTATCTTGGGCCGTTGGTACTCTTTGATATGTTTTCAAACGCATCCAACCGTTCATACACGTGTGTAATACACACGTAGACATATTATACGAATGGTCTAGATGTACCTATTGCAAAGTGCAATAAAATTTTTCTCCTTTCTGACTAGTGACCCCTTTGTTTTAATTATTAGTCTTAACAGAACTCTGAAAAATGTTATTGGGTACAAGTACGTGTGTCCCCACTCGCATAAGTCTTGTACATGTTGCGAGATATGTTTGGTTTTCAGTTTTTTTTATGAGAATAGTTTTTTTGTTTTTCTAAGGAATTGAAGATTAGAAGACTGTAAAAGAATTCTACCAAGATAATTTCTGAAAACTCAGTTTAAAAATTGTTTGCTTTCATATAAAATTCTTTTATATTTTTTCTATTCTTCTGCAATTCTTAAGAACTGTTTGTAAAAAATTGAATCAAACATATCAATATTTATTTTTTTATTTTTTTTAATTTTTTTTCTGTGGTATGGCAAGAAACACTCACTCTCCCAGATGCCTCTAAGGAGAATTCCACCTTGTACTTTGAAAGGCTAAGCCTATAGTAAACAGATAGATTTTTGAGTTTTTTTATTTTTTTTATTTGAATAAATAAATTTTGAGTTTGTTCTCGGACTTTCATTTCATTAGTTGTACATAGACGATTGGAGGTTTCCTTTATGTGGGCCTATACAAGAATATCCCAAATTTGATCCCTGTCGGTCCAAATTGTTGTCAAAACAATCCGCCAATCAAAAATAACATTACCACAGTGCCACCGGATGGACCACGACATTGATATACATTGACATCTGAAAATCAAGGCTACTTTTATTGGGTAATCAAATTACCTCTTTGACCTTATATATATATATATATAAATAAATATATATAAATATTTAAATTGTAATCTAAGTTTATATACGGAGAGGATGTTGTACTCCACCAAGAGTCATCACTCATTGAGTGATGAGATTTAAGCCATCTCTTATGCATAAAAGAATCTACATCTATTTTATTTATTTATTTATTTATTTATGTGTGGTAAGTAAAAAATCTACGTTGTATCCATAAACGTTAGGTTTTGTGTGAAAAAGCGAAAGTTTTTAATGTCTACAAAAAATAATGAAACAACTTTGAATTCACAACTTGATATTCTATTGATAAATAATATTTTGTGCCCATTTGTTCTGGCAGATTAACATTGATCTTAAAACAAGTCCAAAACTAGGTGTCAAAAAATCCAAAATGAAAACGTAATTTCGAGGCCCCTAAACTACATAATTTGACTAAAAATTGAGTAGTTTTCAATTACAATGAGGTCTTCTCAAATCAAAACATGTCATTAAAATTGTTATCGAAAAACGTCTATAAAACTATTCTAGTTTATCATAATTTAACTATACAATTTCATATCACCTTGTTGTCAAATTGCCAATCTTTTTCGTATAAATTTTTTCTTTTAAAACAAGAAAGTCTACAACATCTTCAATCAATAGATCATTCATCAGATGGATCTCACCGCTATATCAAACGACTGAAAACTTCATAAATACAGTTCCGATAAATGTTACAATATTCGTGTATCTGCTACAGTTCTTGTTTAGCCTAACCACCCTATTATTTATACAACTAGCATATATTCTCCCGTACCGCTACATCACTACATGTGGATGCAACCTCATGGTTGAAAAATCTCGCAACAGCACATGTTCTAGAGGGAGGAAATATAGGAAAATAAAAAATGGTTCCCTTTTCATGTGGAAGCCAAAAAAAAAAAAAAAAAAGTGTCAGTCATACTCTATCCCAAAGCTTCTCTTCTAGACTTTTAGTGACAATAATAACACGACAAGCCATTTGCGTAATCTAAGACGATTCTCATATAGTGACATGTTTGGAAACTATATTGTAAGGCTTTTAATTTTCTGTGACCTTTTCTTTTCACACGTTACCAAATTACTGGTAAGCAAGATTTATGAGGAATATTTCTGAATGTCTTTATATAGTAAGAATTTATTTGGATTTGAATTTTGAATAGAAGCTATACATATATATATGAGGCTATATATCCACAATAAGTAAAAAAGATGATGACCCATCATGTATAGAGTGGGTAAAAAAAATTTGATTTGATATGTGTAAGTGCGTGTAAAGAGGGCTAGCTATAGTATAATAGTAGATTATCATAACACTTAAAAAGATTAACATTACGTGAGGATTAAGTTACACAATTCTTAAATCTATTTTTGTGTAAAGAGGGCTGGCTATAGTATAGTAGTAGATCATCATAACACTTCAAAAGATTAACATTATGTGAGGATTAAATTACACAATTCTTACTTAGCCATTATGTGTCATTTTTGCTATTTGTCATTTAATTTTATCATGTGTCGTTTTTACTATTTGTGATTTAATTTTATTAATTTCGTTCTATTGTCGCATCTGGACTTTATATAACTTGGCGTGAGGGTATGGTGGTCATGGAGGGTTGGATCTCGTTTACTCCACGCATTTGACCTTAATTGAGTATGGTTGTGTGATCATGTAGTTAAATATTGACAACATGCATGTTCTCAAGATATAGATTTATATCCACACACACACACATATATAAATATTATATAATTGACCTTGTTTCAGATATAGATCCAATCCAAGGACAAGCTGCCAACCCAGCCATTTGTTTTCAGGAAAAATATATTAAAGACAAAAATGGTGAAACTGCAACTTGTATGCTGTAGGATGTAATATTATTACTATTAGAACCCCCTCAATGAGTATTGAACTCTGAATTATTTTTCTTATAAAATTTGCGATAATAAAACCTTCAACCATCTCGCCGCCTTTGTGAGATGAGTGCAAATTGGTAGTGACTAGAGTTAATATTGCTTGATAATGAAACTAAAAATAAAAATAACTATCAAAATAATAAATTTCTAGAATAGAATTATTGAATAAAATGTCTCCATCATCTAAGTACATTCGTAGTTTAATAAGGTTATAGTGATTTTGTTTTCTTGACAAAATATAAAATTTTCTCAATAGGAAGCACTGAAAATTTTAAATTTAGAATCGTAGTAAATTTAGTTTAAACTCCCAAACTCAACATTATTGTATTGGTATAAATTAAATATTATCATTTTTTTTTTTTTTAGCAAAAAAATCACTCACAAACCCTATTTCATCCCCTCAGAGACTTAAACTTTCGACTTTGTAATTGGAAAAATGAAGAACGAATAAATACCAATAGATTAAGTGCCATTGATGATCAAATATTATCTAGCTATCAAGTTATCTGTGATGTAAAATTAAAGAGTTAAGTTAATATTAGATTTTGACTTTTTACAACAAAAAGTCCCTTTAAGAATTAGAATCTCATATAGAACTTTTTCTTTTTTGACAGGACTCGCATTCAATTTTGCTTTTGATCAATTGATATATGAATCCAAGTAGCTCATCTATCAACTATTAACTCGGTGATAAAAAAAATTACTCGATTGAGATGTTATGGTCCCAAAACATGGATGTTCACTTTTTCATTTTGGTTTATAAAATAAAAATATTTCTCCAAATATTAGTAGTCAGTTTAATAAAGAGAAAATATAAAATGGTCCCTATGGAATCAAAAAAATGTCTTAATCATGGCATTGAAGTTACGGGGGTATAGGACAGGTTTCCAATTCCATTTTATTCATATGCTTGGAGGCCACTGGCGCATGCTGCTGTGTTCAATGTGGTAGTACGAAAAGGGTTTAGAAGAGGCCAAAGATGATGTAGACCTTTCTTATAGACCACACCTACCACTATCCAATCATGGGTTAAGACAGTAGATAAGGATGACAATTTGATCCGTCCCGCCCCGCTCTGTCTCATCCCGTCCCATCTCGCTTCGCCTCGTTTAAATAAACGAATTATTTAAGTATTCTTATTTCAATAGTATATATATTTATTATTATATATTAAGTACCATATATAACAATATTAAAGTAACAAATAAATTTGATTAAAAAAAAAAAGTTGTAATGGTGAAGAATTAAATATAAAGGGAAAAAAAAAAGAGTAAATCTATTTCAAAAATAAATAAATTATGATCTTAAA